TATTGAAACTAGACCTAAACATCAATTCTCATCTGTCGAATCTCGAATCAATATTGTCAAACTCATGCATAAAAGATCAGGCCTAATCTAGTCACAGAGCGTTAAATCAATCAATAGGAAATTAATCTAGCATTGACAATCAACAACAATAAATTACCCCTTCATATTATTCATGGATCCCCATAAACCCTATAAAAAAAACTACTCACACATAATAAAAACTAAACTAATCAAAGCAATAAACACAAATCATGATGAAAGGAGTAAAATAAACAACTGAGATTAAGAGAAGAGAAATAGTTACCAAACTAATCTGTATTAATGGAAATAATTAAGAACAAGAGTTCAGAGAAAAGTTAAGAGAGAGAAAAATCCTAAGTAGAGAGAGAAAGTCTAAGAAAGAAGATCATCAAAAATTACGTACAAATCTCGTACTTAAACGTTTTCTAAAACAAAAATTAAAACTAAACTAATCAGGTCTTGAGAAAACACTCGCCCGATCGGGTGAAGGGTCGCCTGATCGGGCCCGCCTTTTTCTTTGCGCTTCTTCTCAGCAGCATCGCCCGATCGTGCTAGACGTTCGCACGATCGGGCGCGCTATCAGCTACGCACAACACTAAGCATGTCGCGCCCGATTGTGCTAGACCTTGCCCGATCGGGCCCTTGCTTCACTTTGAGGCTCGGACTTCGATTGGGCTTGATTTCTCGGCCCAATCCGGATTTCCTCTTCGGGTCTTGAATACTCGGTCCAAGTACCTCGGGATCCCAATTACCGAGCCCTTAATCACCGGCTCGATGACTCTAACCGACCTTGGGCTTCAAAGATGGTTGTATTTCTCCAATGCTCGTGATTGCTCCAAAATAACTCGGAAAAATACTCCAAAAGCATAAATCCCTGCAAAAGTCAACCAAATCTACGAAAACACTAGAAAACACCAATTAGTAATAAAAGTGGCTCTAAAGAGCCAAAAACACTACTAATTATGACCAAGGGACGGGGATAAAATACTATATAAAACAGACACATCAGAATTCTCCTAATTTGTGTTAATTGATTATATTTTCTATGTTTCGTGATAATGGCAACATTAGGCCATGCACAAAATCTGAGGAAAATTTCAGGGCTTGTCCACTAGGGCTTGGAGAGCCTTGATTAATGAGCTAGCTCAGGAAGTTACTGAGGCCGACAAGAGAATGGGAATTAATCAAAAACTGTTGTAGTTGAAAGGAAGTTAGCTCAGACCAAAATATAAATTTTTATAGTAATATAAAGTAGGAAAAACTGAAAAGAATAATCCCGCCTTTTCACTATCTACTCAAAACAAGCCAACTTTTGCATATTCTGGGAACGGGCCAACCTTTACCCCTTATTTTGGTCCCTTTTACAGGTTACCTGATGAGCAGGTTAACTTTTTTTTTTTTAATTTTTTTTTCTTTAATCATCTTCACCACCATAATCACCAGCACCATTCACCGTAACCACCACATCACTTCCTAACACCACCTCCACTACTGAACCAAACTGACTCCCACACCCACAATCACTGCCCCACCACTAACCAGTGACCACCACCATCCTCCCCACAACCCACAACCCATTAAATGTAATTTATCCCGCCCCAAAATCCACTGCGTCGACCAGAGCTCTACCCCACCCAACCCCAAAATCAGACTCAATTTGATTTCCAAAGTAATCGAAGTTGAAGTTGATTTCCAAAGTAACCACAATTGTCAATTTGATTTCTAAAGTAATTGAAGTTGAAGGTGTCTGAAAGTTTAAAGAAAGACTCAATTTGATTTCCAAAAGAAAAAATGGAGAGATTTGGTAAAAACTTTGGCTGGGTAATTAGATCGCTTCGCCATGGCCAAATTCCAGAATTAAAATTGCTTGCTTCGAGGTGGGTTTTGCACAGCAAGGAAGGGGTGGGGGTGATTTCGGTCCTTAGGGTAAGTTGGATGAGTTATTCAGTATGGCTTTAATGATTGCTGGTGGTGGGTTGGTGGCTTGCTGTTGTTAGCGGAAGGAGGTTGCGTGGTGATGGGCGGCTGCTGGAAGCGGTGGTGGATGTGGGGCTGCTGGTTGTGGTCAACTGGTCAAGGCTCGATGGTTGTGCGGCTTCGTTGATTGTTGGTGATGGGTCGGCTGGCGGGAAAGGGGGTAGCTATGGTGGTGGTGGGGGCTGAGTCAGGAGGAAGGAGGTGGTTCTTTTTTAAAATTTTTTTTCTTTTTTTTGGGTTTTTTTTTAATTATTTAAGCTAACAACCAATTAGAAGGTGACATGTGGCAAGTGATCACCTTCTAAAACAGGTTACTAAAAAGTCGGTCAAAGGCTTGTTTTGATAAAATAGGGGGTAAAGGTTGGCCCGTTCCCAGAATACGTAAAGGTTGGCTTGTTTTGAGCAAATAAAGCAAAGGTGGGATTATTCTTTTCAATTTTTCCTAAGTATAGTTTATAGGAGATGGAAATAATATAAAAGTAATGTAAGTGGGGTTGATAGGAAAGAGAAATAATAAAATATTTGTAAAAGTAAGGTTTAGTAGGTGTAAAATAATGATGAGACTTTATCAAATATTTCATACGAAATTAGTATGAAACGGATATAAAAGTAAAGTGTTGTAATTATTACGTAACAGATGCAGTGGTTAATCGGGTTATTCATACCAGGCTAGTGTTTTGGAATTTGACCCACATTTAGTGGATAGATCAAAATCGGTGTTGCAGCCGAACTTAGCACCATGATCGTCCAATATTGAGGTTGGGCTTAAAATGGCCCCACTCTGCCTTCAGAAATTACGAAGTGTTTGGTTATTATTTTGACATTCACTACCGCCATCATTTTAAGCAAATTGACAATCTTGCCCTTACTAATTTTTTTCTTCCCATTTTCATTCTCTAACATTAGTCCATCAACCACAACCATATCAACCACCAGCTTCTACACTACACATCCACAACGACGGCAAAAGTCGACGAGAAATGGATAGAGATCGAGGTGGCTTGATGAAAAAAGAATTAAGGATTAATCGGAGCTCCACGGTAACCGGTTTTGACCTCCGGTTACCGTGGACTTTAACTGATTTTGGGCTCCGATTACCATGGTCAACCGGAGGTCAAACCCGGTTACCGTCCACGGTACCCAGAGGCTAAAACCGGTTACCATGGACGGTAATCGGAGCCTAATTCAAAATTTGCTCAATTTTCTTATAAAAAATTTAAAATGGTGTGGTTGGTAACCTGAGGTGAAAACCGGTTGCCCACCATCAGTAATCGGAGGTGAAAACTGATTACCGGCTACGGTCAACCGGATTTGGTCGCCGGTTACTGGTGTTGGCAATCGGTTTTCACCTCCGGTTACCACCCACTTATTTCATATAATATATATATAAAAAAAAAAAAAAAAAAAAAAAAAAAAACTAATCGGAAACTACTTACCTCCTTTCCACCCATTCCGTCGTAGCCGTTGTCACTGCCGATGTCTAAGTCTGCGCAGCCTCCACCGCCTGAGATCGCGCCACCGCCGTTGCCTGAGCTTGCCGCCAATTGCTTCCCGGTAAACTCCATATATGTGGTTGTGGAGGTTGTGTGGTAAAAAAGGTGAGTGGTTGGTGTTTGAGGAGAGAGAAAAAAAATAAGGGTCAAAGATAGGTTTGGGTTTAGTAAGGGCAAAATTGTCAGTTTGCTCGAAATGATGGCGGTGGCGATAAATTTGAACGTCGGTATTTAGCATTTCACTAAAAAATAAAAAATGACACAACACGTGTCCAAAATGGCTTAACCCAACACAAACTAATCCTAGTAAGTAATAAGCTTTCTTTGGCGACGTTTTCTTTGTTTTGGGAACCATTTGACATGAAAATACATTGTTAAGGCTTAGTCAATCGCTCAACCCTCCGGCATTCTCCAATGTCATCTTTACTTAAGTCCGACATTCCTCTCATATATGACAAATGACAAAAACATTACCAAAATACAAGGCATGAGTTCCACACACCAAGACCAGCATTGACTTCCTAATTTGTAACATGATTATATTATGCATGCTTTAAACCCAAACTAACACTATTTGGTGCATAAAAGCTATGTAAGTTTGGCTTGGTCACAGCACCCAAAACTATAGGAAAGTTTTGCGGAAAGTTTAAAAAAAAAACGGTAAAAAGAAGTTACTTGAGACTGACTAAGCAGCATATTACCAAATATCTCGCTAATTTTCAAATTTTAATTTTTCAACCTAGCATATTTACTCAACTACTTGCTTCTTTCTACTTAATTTAATTCCTTAAACTGCTTAAGGTAACATAATACAGTTCAACCTTCAAACAACAAGGTAATGTTTTGATGATTTATTTTTCTATTTTCAGTACATATAATTCAGTTTCTGTTTTTGTATTTGCCAAAATTCTGTTTTTATGGTGTATAGAGGAGCTTTAAAGAGTGTTAATATAGACAGGCTTCAATACTAGTCTTGATATTGTAACCAACTAAGTTAATTGACATACACGAGTTTGGTTTTTATTATGGCTGCAATCACCTTTATATTTTCTATGTGTACATCGACATACTCGTCTTATGATGAGAAAATGATTATGTGTCAAGCAACTATGAAGTTGTAAATTAATGATTATATGTGACAGTGTATAACTGTATTATTGATTCTGATAAAACTCGAGTTGATAGTACTGATTCGAGTAGTTGTTCTTGAATTGTAGCACATTTTGTTGCGAAATATCTTAATTACTCTTTCTTAATACCAGTAGAAACAAAGATAATAAGCATATGTAGTAAATGTTTGTGTTCAGCATTAACAGGGCCTTGATTTATTTCACCTAAATAGTTCCGATCAATTCATTTTTTTTTGAAAACTACAAGTTATTGCAGACACTAATTGTTTTTTCTGTTTTTTTTTTCTTTTTTTCTTTTCTGTTTAACAGGTACTAATTTAAGACTTCTTTAACCATAGATAACTCAAATTGCATTAACAAAGGGTACATTGCTAACAATATGGTCCCGGCGAGAAGTAAAGATTTATCATCATCTTGGTAATATAATGACTTTCCTTTCACTACCGAACCCACGCCATATACTACCTCCGTTACAGGTTATGTGTAACGATTTGACATAAACCAGAGAGGGAAAATGTCTAATCGTTGCATTTAACCTGTAAAGGAGGTAGTATCTACCATAAGATTAAATTAACCAATTTTCTCCTAGCTAACTAATGCTCTTTTTTCAGGTGTCCCAAACACACAAATAGTTGCAACTCAATATGTGATGCCCCTATAAAATTAGACCAAGTAAGTATTCTTTTAGCAAAATCTTCTGAATTATGTACCTTCTTTACTGAAATTTTAAATTTACTCATTTGATTCATTTTGGACAATCTAGGGACTCTTGGCTAATAGATCAGCTACAATAGCCTCCTTACTAAGAAACAACCCTTCGGAAAATCTCTCTGCTTTCATCAAAGAAATACCATTAGAACGCGAAGCCTTAGAACTCATAGCAAGATTTTGCCAAGGATTGGAAGTCAAGATGACAACTGACAACGTAATCCCTCTCATCTGCCTTTCTAACTACCTCGAGATGACTGAAAATCACAGCCCGAATAACTTACTCCACAATGCCATCATATTCTTAGAAGATGAAATCATTCCTAGTTGGGATCAGACTATAAAGTCTCTTCGAGCATCAGGGTGTGCATTCCAGCAGGCTGCAGACAATGGTCTTTTGAAGCTCTGCATTGAGGCTCTCACAGACTGTGCATTATCTGACCCTGCTCTCCTTGGACAACCCATCATGGTTGAGCGCGACAGCAGTAGCAGCAAACACTTGTATTATAAAAATGCAACAAGGAGGAAGCTCTTTGCTGGTGCAGAGCATTTAGATACATCATCTGAAGATCTAGCCTCATTGCCGGTGAAAATGTATGAGCCAATCATCAAGGGGATGATACAAGGCCAGGTCCGACAAGAGAACATCATTGGATCCCTACACCAGTACCTCAAGAAACATGCAGCTGATGTCGAAACCATTGAAGCCATTGAGAGACTATTGCCAGCTAGTACTTTTACCTGTAATAACAAATATCCTCTGTACCCTTACACCCTCCTGTTTGAGATGTACACCTCTGCAGTCTTCCATGGCGCGAGTGCAGAATGCATAGCTTCCTTAGAAAATCGAATTGGTAAGGAGCTATACCGCTCCACAGCTGAGGATCTCCTTAAACTAGACCTCGATGTTGAGAGCCTAAGGCAGATACTGAAGGCATACTACGCCAATTTCACTGAGGCTAACCCTGCAGGACTAGTTACAGTGGCAGAACTCATGGAAAACTACTTAGTACAGGTAGCAAAAGAGAGGGAAACAGATGTCAGGAGCTTCACAGAACTGGCACAGATGGCAAGTTCGACATCCAATGTAGGGGACTACCGTTGCTCGGATGGTATATACAAGGCAGTGGACCTTTACTTGGATATGCACAGAGAGTTAATTGAATCAGAAAAGGAGGAAATATGCAGGGTATTGGATTTTCAGAAGATGTCATCAGAGGCTTGTCAGCACGCGGCCTTAAATCAAAAGTTGCCCTTAAGAGTGGTGGTGCAAGTATTGTTTGTGTCGCAGTTGCAACTAAAAGATAACATCAGCAAAGCTGTTGTGGAGTACCCTAGCATTAGTAGTGTAAAACACGGACAACAACGAGGAAGCGAAGAGATTAGAGTAGTGGAGGAGGATCAAGAGTTGGATGATGAAAAGGAAGAGATTCAAGGGTGTCATGAAAAGAATTGTTGTGGGAAGAAGAGTAAGAAGAAGGTGGGTTTGTGGAAGGGAATGAAGAGGAAGTTTGGTTGTATGGGAAGTAATGATTATGAAATTTTACATGATTGTAGCTGCCAAACCACAAAGAAGAACAAAAAGGAGCACTCTTGAAGTATTTTGTTTAGTTTAATTAAATACTGTAGTTTAACTGACTTTTTAGGCCTGTTTTTCAATGAGTTTAATGAATGTTTGAATGTATTTGGATAATGCCATTTTCATGTATTGATTTTGTGAGTAGTAGCTTTATTAAACTTTATCAGTTTTTTTATTTTCTCATGTATTTATTTATAATATTTCATGAGTAGATTATTCTTTTTTTTTTTTTTTTGAAACAAGTAGTATTTGATTCATATAAGAAAAAACACATTCATATTAGATTTGTATCTCTTTATGGTTTCAAAATCTATACTTTTTCTAAACTTTTGTAATAGTAATATGTAATTGAAAATATTAATTTTAACAAAACATCAAAACCATTTACCAGACACAGCCAAGTCAATATAGTATATGAGGGGAAAAACTACCTTTAGACATTTCGATTTCTAGTGATTTTACTTGCTTTACATATCATATTTAAAGGAATGATGATTCATGCAATGTATATTATGATTACAAAAATAAGGCCAAAAATTAACTTTTAGCCCCCCTTATAACAAAGAAGCTTCCAAATGGCTCTTAACAGAATAGGCAGCTATCTGTGACAAACAAGTAGCTTTCTCTTCTCCCTGCCAGATCAGATCTGTCGATGATGCCCCAATCACCCAATGGCGAATTATTTGTAGGTAATTGTTAAAACCACTACCATATATACATGAACAATCATCTAGGAAAAGCATCTACTCCCCACAGATATCAACAAGTTACATGGAGGGCGCAACACAAGTCCGAGGAGCCTGTGGAATTGTAGAACAGAGGGCGCAACAAAAATCCAAGGAGCCTGTAGAAATTGTAGAAAAGTTGGTCTTTAATGAAGATCAGTAACAAGATTGAGTTACAAGGAGAACACAACACAGGTCTGAGGAGCCTGCGGAATTGTAGAACAGTTGGTCTTTAACAAAGATCACTTAGAAGATGAATTTTAAACCAGGAACAAGTTTGGACACATACCTTCAAAACCTTTTATTCATTGTAACTTTTTTACACCAAGAACATTTTACTGTATTACTGTCATAGTGTCATGTAAGTTCTTATCATTGTGGCTCCTGTAGGATCGGACAGTAGATGCCTTATAAGACCCATTCTCAAATCATTCGGAGCAATAAAGAACATGTAAAAGGCAAACAAAATGAGATCAGCTGAAGAGAGATTAGAACCAAGGAATCCCTCCCACATCCTGCAAAGGAAACACGAAAATCTGCCTCAAAATATACATAAAAATGGTGGTTTAAGAAAAGGTCGAGAAAAATTATGCAATTGGGTAGTATGATTAAAAATACTTGAAACATTTAGGTAAATGTAAACCCGCAGACAAACAGACAGAAAGGCCCAACTCTTTCTATGCTCTGAGATAATTCCTAATGACATTTAGGAGTCAGGACTATGTTTCATGGTGATGCACATGTCATCTACACGATTATTTGATTAAATGTTTAATACTTATAGCTTGCCAAGATAAGTATTCTGCAGCTGTAGTCATTGATTGCTGAATTCAATTATGTCATGCAGGACTGCAGTGTAATCAAATATACTTGCATTTCGGTATCATCTCCACCAATTATCTGTGTGTCCATTTACATACTGCTTGATTCCTCATATTATGAAACACTAAGCAGTGAGTCACACACCTAAACTCCCAAGATAACCTAATTTAAGTAGAGTTACATTATTAACTTAATGTGATTATAAATGAGTTCTCGTATTGATGAAAACATTGACAATACTTCCTATCTATTTAATGACTTCATAGTTGTGGTCAGCTAGATGAAATAAACAAGAATTTCAAACAATACAAATAATAGAGTATAAAACATGTTCATGGGACTCAACCAACTTAAGCTTTTGGTTGAATAGATCCTCTAACATTGTATCGGAGCCAGCATGACACAAAGGTCACGGGTTCAAATCTCATCCACCCCTCACTTTCAAGTGGAATATCAAGTTTGGGTATGATGATGGTCTATGCTACATCCACATTTCAAGCCCAACAGGCTCTTGTGTGAGGAGGCGTGATAGAGTATAAAACATATTCCTAGGCCTCAAGCATCACAGTGGTCTTTTAACAACAAACATAAAAGATTTCGTGGCTGAACCATCACATTGTCTCTTGATTAACAATCAAATGAAAATAATTATCTATAACCAGTAACTTTTAGTTTTTTGCTGGTTTAGCATCAATCTCTGTTAAATGATTATGACTCTAATTGGTGTATGGTATAAACAGAGTTATCCAAACGAGATAATCAAAATGCAAACAATATGGACTGTGAATGCCAAATGCAACAAGAAATGAATAGGGATTGCATGATATGCATCTATTACCATTTTGGCACTCGGAAAAAGGTTTGGAAGAATGTCCTGATACCCTCAGTATCAAGCTGAACTATAAGTGATAGTCCAAAAAGGAAGAACGATCTTTGACGTTTCCTTTCTTGAGGCCAAAGAGTATTCCAGGCTGCACCAACAGAAAAAAGTTAACAGCAAAATTTGGGTTTACCAGTAGCTAATTCCAACAAGCTACTAATTTATCATTGAAAAAAGCAAAAGTAGAAACAAAATCTCCCCATTTTGTGCTTCATTTTTCTTTACAGTCAAAAAATGAAGGCAGCTTCAAATTTCTTAAGATTAAAAGCGGACAAGATGTAAATATTACTTCTTGTACACAACATTTAACAAATATTATGACCTTCATAGAACATTTAGCAATGTTCATTAAAGGCATGTCATACATTGTCCTGAATTGAGACACTTTAAAGCATCAAGCCAAATCATGACCATGTGCAATGATTGCAAAAGAAAAATTATAACCAATTATATTTCTACGAAGTATATTGTTTATGAATCCTGCATCGATTTTTTTTATTATCTGATCTAGGCTTTTAAACGAATCGGTTCATCAATACAGAAGGATTAAACATTTAATTTTAATGCATATAAAAAAATTGGAATGTACAAACCTTGCATTGAGATATTCTCCGCATTCCTCTGACGCAAAATTGCATTTTTTGAGAGATCATTCTTGATCAAGTTTGCAATTGCAGAAGCATAATTCGGAGCCTCTGACAAAGATCTCACAACTGAATACCCTGTATGACAAAGCCAATAAAGATGGAGGATACATCACTTCAGACTTTCAGTGCATATGAATTTCATAAACCTTTATAGCTTATAAGATGACACAACAATATTACATAAATCTATAAGATAATAGAAATCCAGCTTGTGTCTTACCTGTGGCTGGATGGACCATGCTCGCAGCAGCACCAAATGCAAGGTTTCTTTGTTCTGTATTTGGTAAGGACCCGCCAACAGGTATATAAGACCACTCCTGCATCATATAGAATGACTATTACAACAGTAACATGAGTGCATCTAACAAGTTAAATGGTTCACAATGATGATAGAATTTTCCATTACCCTCAAAAAATATTACTAGGAGATTTTAGTAAAAGTATTACATACACTAATGTGAAAAAAGAGCTGCAGGGTTCAAGCACTCAGATGTAACGGTGTTATTATTAGAGTCTGCTTATTAACTGGATGTCTCTTACTCTGTTAGAGCCTTTATTTAGAGAAACATCTTGCCACAGTAGAGGAGCCGAGGAGGAGAGGTCAATGTGCTTTAACCTTGTTGGCTGTTTTAAATCTTCAAAATTAATCATAAATCAACAAAAGTTAAGGATGGAGGACCCTTCTTGTGAATTTTCTTTATTTTTCTCTAACCAAGGGAATGGCAATATCTAAAAATTCACAACATTTTCCATGTTTCACAGGAAAAAAAAGACCACATAAAGGCAAAAAGTCTTCATATGAACCATGATTCTGGACATAACCCCTATAAACAATCACTTACATTGCACACCAAGTAAACCATTTAGATTGATGACCACCATGTGTGTAAAAAGGAAGACAAGATGTACTACCTAAACTCTAGATAATCAAGGTGCTATTGTAGGTGTTGTTGTCATCGTCTAGTCATGTTGTAAGGCAAGTTGTAGATCTTTCCAGCATACATCATCAGTCCACTCCATTAGAAATTATCAGTACCAAAAGGGGCACAACAGGAAATCCCCATCTTAATTCTCTCATTACTCAATGCAGAATCAAAGTTTCCAGTACAAGGACAAGTCCAATTATGTTTGGGAATACATGTATCTTCTTGGTACATATTGTCTGCTTGGATGTTTCATGGTATCCTTAACAAAATACTGTAGAAAATTGGTATGATTCTATACTTTTCTCTAAGTTTACTGTAAACTAGCCTAGGGGAGGGAGAGAATGTAGGTAGCAAAATTAGTAGTCACAATAAGCTTGGAGAATTTAGTCAGTTATTAGACTTAGAAGTGCTATATGAAGAAAAGATCAGTGGGGAGAAACCATGGAGAACAATGTTTGAGAGTTTTCCTTAGATTCGTTACTCTTGGAAAGAACAAGCCTCTCAATTGCTTGTGCTTATCACTTTCTTCTGTAGTTTTCATTTAGCCAATCTTTTTCAGCAAATTTCTGCTCTTGTCATCAATTCATCATCTTAGATTCTTAGTCTGTTCAAGTACCGATCAATATATTTACACTTAATTGATTTAAGAAAAGATCAGTGAGGTAGGTAAAGGTGATGGCTAGTTACAGTAAGCTACTTTCATGTTATAATCTTAATATAAAAAATATAAGCAAATTCTAAAAAATAAAAAAAGGGGCAGGAAATATTCTACACAAACACTAGTCTTTGCAGCAATCTTGCTAAATACTAGATCTTTATAGTTTATTCACAAATAGCTGTTAGCCTCCCATTGAAGTGAAATTTACTCATTCTCCCATTTTTCTCTGCAACTATTCCGGGGGGAGGGGGGGTTGACAATAGATCAAAAGTACATGTTTACTTTTTAGCCATTGTAATAGAAAATTAAATTAAATTGCAGAAGCTAGAGTTGGATCAAAACCTAAGCTCTGATACCATGTTAATGGACCAACTCAAACAAAAGCTTAAGCTCACAGGGATATCAATACTTTCTCCTATAGGTTGCAGTCAATGTTTTTATTTTTTGTCATTTCCCTTCTTTTCTTTTGCTGTTTAGCCATTTGGATGGGAATTATTTGACTAATCAAACCAATAAAAAGAAAATTAGTAGTAATATGTAACCATCAACAGTGAAAATACCTCTTCGTATGTTTTAATGATACGAACACCCATAGTTTGTAATCTTGTCATAAGCTTTTTCTTGAGCAGATCAAAGGGCATTGCATCTGCTGAAGCCAAGCAAGTCTCCTGCATTTATTAAGTCTTGAGACAGCTATAAGAGAGAGGGAAAATACAATACACACATTGAAAATAGAAGGCTAACCTCAAAGAAGATCCTAGTTGGCGACAATGGCATTGCATACAAGAATGTTGGATATTTTGCCTCCAGCGACTGAAAGCTCTGTTTAGTGTAGTCTCTATAGTCCATAAACACCATCAAATTGGGATCATAAGGACTATTTTCCACCTACAATCGCAAGGAATTAATTTATGAAGTTGGATACTATGAACTAGAGAGCTATTCAAAATCCAAATTAAGCATGTGTGTCATCATTTGACTTGAAATCTCGAGTTTGAATGATTAATTTTTTTTTCCAAAACAATTTTGAAATGAGTGAAGAGAATAATTCACAAGAGTATCACACATGCATTACTAAAGATAATATCTGCCCAAAAAAACTTGTGTTCAATACAATATCTCAAGCTACATACAACATACCTCCACCTCTACACCATAAGCTGTTTGTACACAAACCCTTGGACCACCCACTTCATACTCCAGAAGTTTCCCTGAAGCTGCTCCAGAAGCAACCGTTACAAGCCTAAAAACATAACGTGTCAGTAAGTACGAACATTACATTTTCATTCCAGTAAACAAGAGGAGAAAGATATGCACCTGCAAGGAATAGTGATATTGCGTTCACAAGCAACAAGACTATGTCCACCAGGTCCTTCCATAATCCTTTCGACTTTTGCATTCAGATAAGAGACACCTGACTCCAAACACCTAAGAAAATTAATAAATTACATAACTACATAAAGCTGGCAAATAAAATCAGGCAGAGAAATCTCAAGACCAACAAGCAGATAACAAAATGACAAAATGCAGCTTTTACCTTTGCACCAGCTCCTGATGAAGTAAATGCCGGCTGACTCTTCCATAAGATCGACCAATGTATAAGGGATCATCATTATCAATATAGACAATGGTATCACGCCAAACCTGCTCGATACAGCCTCCAAGTCCCAATGCTGAAATATGATAAATTGATTACACATTCAAACTTGAAAGTGACATTTCTAGCAAAACTAAATTAGGAAAAAGGAACAAACAAATTAAAGCAAACACACACACATAAAAGAAAGACATCATCACTAATTTGGCTTCCTTTCTAAATTTTACAGCTCAGATGAACAAATTGAATTAGTATATTGATGAAGAAGACAGAAGTACCTCGAAATTCATCTTCCCAAACACCGTAATTATTCGTAAAAGGAAGATCAGGACCAACAAGACCAACTTTTAATCCTAGTTTAGCTGATTCTGCTGCCAATGCTAGACCAGCTGGACCACAACCAATAACCACCATATCCAGCAACTCATTCGCGTCTGAAATTTGAGGCAACTGCAAATAAATGAACACAAACGAGTTTGAGATAACGTATTTTCGACTTCTGAGTACGATTTAACATCTCGAAACAACATACAGCAGCAAGATTTATCAATCTTTTGAAAGAATACACGACCTAAATTTCAAAAACCACCGCATTTGTGTAATAACAGAGTCACCAAAGTTCAACATTCAAACAATGCAACAAACTACTCGATTTTTCGATCACCAAAATCTGATAATTGGCAACAAAATGCAAAAAATTACAACAAAAATCCATTTGATTGTATCAACCAATATTCATAACATATTGACATTCATCATTTAATCAACTAATATACAACATGAATACAATTATAAGTAAGATTTCAACTTCAAAATCAAAATTAATTGCATTAAAAACAAAAATAAAAAATCAAAATGCTGAACCTTATCAGAAATTTTGGATTGAGTTTCCATAACTTTAGTCTGCTGCATTTGAACATACAAAAGCTCAGAACCACCAGCTTTGATGAAATCTTCTTCATTCGCAAAATCTTCAGGCGCAACAACACAACTACTCTCACTATTCGCACTCCTCAAAACACTATTTCCACTCCTCCTACTACTACTACTACGACTACTCGTACAATCTACAACATTCGCACAATTCGTTCTCCACAAGCAAAACGTCTGGAAACTTCGGCGTTGTTTAATCATCTTATACCTCAAACAATCGTAGTTCAATGGTGGAGAAACCACCATTGTTGCGAACTTGGAAGCTCCGAGACAATAATACTCCATTTTTGCAGAAACTCTGAAGATTGAAGATGAAAGGATTAATGTGAGTTCAATAATGGAGGTGATGATTGAGGTTTTGCCATGGAAGAATGTGGAAGGTTTTGGTGGATTTTCTCTCTCCTCGTTTTTTGAATGGGAGGATGTGTGGGAGATTGTGTGGTGTAGTGGATGCCATGGGCATGGTTGTTTCTGACATTTTGGATAGGGCGGGGGATTTGAGCAACCAACTGTCTGATTTCCAAGTGCTACGTGGAAAGTTATGATTCATTCGCACAAGAATAGAGTAAAATCTTCCGGATATGTAGGATACTAATCTTTTTATTTTACCGTAAATTCACAGGTTACAATTTACGACTTGTTGGGTTAGAGTAGGGGTGGCAAACAGATCAGGTCAGGTCGGGTTCGTGTTCGGGTTTTCGTGTTTCGGGTCAAGGAATCCCCAACCTGAACCTGATCCATTTAAGTTTTCGGGTTGAAAATCCCAACCCGAACCTGATATTTTCGGGTTCAGGTCAACCCGAAAACAACCTGATTTGACCTGACTTTTGGTAATTGTTTTAATTTTTTTTTTAGCTGAATAAACTGATTTTTAGCCAAATTTTGTGTTTTCAAACAGTTAACAAAACCTGAATTTTTTACCCAATGTTTTCAATAGTCTAAAATGCCTAATTAACTATTACACACTAAGTCACTAACACACCAAAATAGTCTTAACAAATTACAAACCATAATTAAAAAGAAAAAAATGTCTTTTAATAAACTTTAGTCCTTGTAACTCAAACAATATTCGAAGAAGCATTCTCATCAAATTCTGATAGTTCCGGCGAGGTTTGTGGTGCGTCATCGTTGTCCCCCACCTTAAGCTTCATAACGGATCCACATAGCATTGCCATTTGAGGATCCATATTATCTACAAGAAAAGATAGCAATTTAAAATCAACACATGTACTAAAATAAAAGATAATTTACAAGTAATATAATAGTTCTAACTCATTTTTTACCTTCCCCAAAATCCCAATCCCTTAAGCAAATTATAGCCTCCACTGTTTCTGATTTTAAAGCACTTCTATAACAATCAAGCACTCGACTTCCAGTACTAAAAGCTGATTCGGAGGCCACAGTTGATACGGGGACAGCAAGAACATCCCTAGCAATTTTAGCTAATATAGGATACCGGACCGAGCAAGTTCTCCAATAAGACAAAATATCAAGGTTGGTGCCTCGGGGGATAAGTGGCTCCTCATAATACATATCAACTTCAGATTTGATTGCCACATTTGATTGCTCCATAGAAAAACTATCAAAATCCTATATACCAAGATTAGATTACATGAGTAGCATGTCACAAAAAATCAAAAAATAAAAATCAGATTATCATACAATAAAATCAGATTATAATATAATAAATCAGATTATAAGAAAATCAGATTATAATACAATAAATCAAATTATATGAGTAGCATGACGCCATGACACAAAAAATCAGAAAATAAAAATCAGATCATAATACAATAAATCACAGATTATAATATAATAAATCAGATATAATAAAATCTGATTATAAAAAATCAGATTATAAAAAATCAGATTATTAAATCAGGATATGTTTTCACTTGCAATAAAGGTAAATGCATCAGAAAGACAGAAACTCATAAAGTTGTTTACCATCATAAAATCATCGGAAGCTTCATTAGCATTGGAAGCATTAGCAGTGGGAATAACATTGCTTGATGAAGAATGACTGGATGCATAAGCCTCGTACAACCTCCGTAAAGCATCCTTAACCTTAGAAAACTCAAGCTCGTATTCAACACTATGCTGACCATATATCCTCATGTAACCCCAATTGACACATTGCAACTTATATCGTGGATCTAATCGTTAGAGCGATGTGAGATCATTTTTTGTGGTCCCCATTGAAAATGATGTTATCAAATTCTTGTTAAAACTCACTAAGGGTCTGTTCTCATAAACTGAACTCAGCTAAACTGAATTGAACTGAGCTGAACTGAACTGAACTGAACTGAACTGAACTGAGCTGAGCTGAGCTGAACTGAACTTATTAATTATTGATTTTTAACTACGGATTAGTGATCTTTGATTATTTATTATTATACATATGTGTATAATAATAAATAGGAACAATGAATTGTATCAATATTATTATTATTATTATTATTATTATTATTATTATTATTAAATGTTATTATTATTATTATTATTATTATTATTATTAAATGTTATTATTATTATTATTATTATTATTATTACTATTAAATATTATTATTATTATTATTACTATTAAATATTATTATTATTATTATTATTATTACTATTAAATATTATTATTATTATTATTAAATGTTATTATTATTATTAAATGTTATTATTATTATTATTATTATTATTATTATTATTGTCGTCGTTGTAATAAGAGCGTAAAAGAATGAAATCATTAGCAATATCATTAGACATAAACTGAACTGAACTGAACTGAACTGATTGGAGCTGAACTGAACTGTACTGAACTGATTGTAAAAGAATGAAATCATTAGCAATATCATTAGACATAAATTAAACTGAACTGAACTGAACTGATTGGAGCTGAACTGAACTGAACTGAACTGAAAATAAACGTATGAGAACAGGCCCTAAGATTTACACATATTTATCACTTTAGCCCTAATACTTAAATATTTGACATATTATATGTAGAAAAGTGTAAGAAAAAAAATAAGGGATAATATAAATAAAAGTGATGTGGGAGTAGTGGGTCCCAATCTCAAGTCTTAAGTTGAGTCTTGAAATTTTAAGACTCAACTTGAGACTTGCTTGAGATTTTTGAAGAAAAATGGGAAAAGTCTTAAGACTTGGGGCTAAACTTGCTCTTAGGTCCTACTCCTGCTCTGCTGAATTCTATTATGCTATTTTGTACTACTCTAAAATCTATTGGGCTTTATTTAAAAAATAATAATTAATTTATAATGATAATAATAATAATAATAATAATAATTAAAATTTAATTAATAATCGTACAAATAATAATTAATATTTAATAAAATAATAATTAATATCAAATTAATAATAATTAATATTTAAAAATAAAAATCATTGATGTTTAATAATAATTACAACTAATATTAAATAAATAAATAATAATTTATATTAAATTAAATATTAATATTATTATTTAATATTAAATTAATAATTTTTATAATAATTAATATTTCAAAAAAATTACTAATTTTAATAATAATTAATATTTAATAATAATAATTAATATTAAATAATAATATGATTAATAATAATAAAATATGGCAAAATTCAAGTTTATATATTTGATAAACGTAATTCACAAAGCAAAAGGGGTATGGTGGTCATTTCCATTACTAATGCGTGGGTATTTTGGTAATACTATGAATGGTGACTAGGAAAAAATGCCATGGGAAAAAAACTTGAGCCACATATGTTGTATGGTGTGTAAAGGTGTCGGTATAACCGTATAATTAAGAAGGTCAACCACGTTGTTGAATTAACGGAGGAGAAGACGTCGTTAGTCGTTAGGGTATAAAATTTGGGGGCAATTTGAAATGAAGAGGCTGAAAGTTCTAGGAAATTGGGGAAGAGGGCATAGTGTATTGTCCTAAAGAAACGGAAAGCGGTGAAGGATAATTTTGCAAAGGATAATCGACATAGGTGTACCTGAAATTGGTTCTCCATGTAATCCGAATCTTTAGTTTTGACATTGTTTATCGTCAGTAACAATTGTGGTAATTCAGTAACCTCACATAATATTTTGGCATTGTTTTATGTGGGCAAATCAATTGTGTTGAAGTAATATGTTATTTTGTAACCTAAATTGTAAGAGAATGTGTGATTTATTGGATTCGATACTTTGCTTATGTGAGTTTGATTTAGGAAAAGTATGTTTCTGGCAGTTTCCGATGATGTTGATGTAGGTAGTAAATGTTAGAATTATGTACAGATTTGTTATGATTTTTTTTAAAATTATAAACATGACCCCAATCCCCAGGGGCGGATCTTTGTAGAGGCTACAGTGGGCTTGGCCCCTGATACTTTTTTAAAAAAAAAAATTAAAGGCCCAATTATAAATAAATATAAAAAAATAAAATAAAAGAGCCTGATTGCTTAATTTCGCCTAAGAAACTACGGAGTAAGAAAAAAATCTCAAATCCTTAAAAAGTAAAAAGTAGTATTAACAATAGTCAGTTAGTCACAAATCTCACAACCCAAACCCTTAAAATTCTCCTCTACTTTTTTTCAAATTTCAATGTATTAATTCAATTAATACTTAATACTTCCAAGAACAAATTCACTAAATCAGGTACTGGAGTATTATGCTCTTAATACTCGACAACCTTTTCCATTTTTTGTTTTAAAATTTTTGAATTTCAATTTTTTTAGTTTTTGCAATTAAATTTTTAATGTTATACTACGTATTGATTAGTTTGAGCGCTAACAAACAAATTGATAATTTTAGGTGACAAAACGTTATCAAAGTTACTCATTAAAAAACATAGAACACGTTTTGCCTTCGGTATGTCGTTCTTTATTTCTCTATTAATATTTACCTAATAAGTATTTAAAATATAATCTCTTATTAAATTTTTAAATAATTTTCGTATGCTTATGTTATTATATTCTTGTTTTAAATGTATACTTATGCTAGAAATTATTGGCCCCCAAAAAAAAAAGTTTCAAGATCCGCCACTGCCAATCCCGTATGGTAACAGGAAAATAGAGTGTATGGAGGGAGATATGCTTGGAGTCAGAAATTTGAGCAATGTGGAGGTAATGTAGTTATGTTTTTAGTCTAAAAAAATGCAAATTGTTGATTTATAAATGGAGAATAATTTGCGTAGTGTGAAAATACTTGGGCAGGGCGGGGTTGAAGATCAGCGTTTGTGCAAATCAAGCAACTGTGAGGTAATTGACTAAGTTATTACTGAGTTGACAATTAGAAAATAATTTATGAAAGCATGTACTAATAGTCTGAGAAGTGCAGGCTCCCGGTGGAGTAAGTTCCCGCACACTAATTGCGTTACACCCTGCATTGTTCAAGGTAAATTAACCATTCTGACAGTTGAAGTAAATCAAGTGTTAATAGTTGGTATCTAAGAGAAGTTTCTTGTTTATCTCAGTGTAGTTGGGTTATCAC